GTAATAAAACACCATAGAGTTTCAGAAGAAACTCATTGCCCTGCTCCCCTTCCTCCCCAACACACACACACACACACACACACACACACACACACACACACACACACCTGTACAGCCATTGAGCAATAATAGGCCACCATGGAAAAAATTAATTGGTCTATCTGGGTCCTGGTTCCTTCATCTATAAAGTGAGGGTAATAATACTTATTTAGAAGCATTGTGTAAGAACCAGAGAGAAAGAAAGTGGTACTCAAAAGGCATAATTAAATATAACTAACATTAAAGTTGGTAATAGAGAAGATTCCAAAGTAATGGGACAATTTACGGCATGGAACCTACAAGCAAACCACAGGCCTCATCGCCACTGGAGATGTATCTCCTGGTCCCAACTACATTTGAACCCCAGATCACCGTGAACCTGGCCAAAACCATTTCAGTGGCTGTAGCACCCTGGATCTTTTTCTTCCTCCTTATACAAATGGAGGACAGAAATCCTTTCTAGAGTTGGCAGAGTGTTTGAGGAAGGCAACAAGGAATATGAAGTTGAACACACAATAATGAAATGCTACTAATGGAACCTGGAGAGACAGTGAAGGAGTCAGTGTAAGACAGGGACCCTCCTAGAACCACTGCAGAGCAGGATGTACGAATGGCATCCCGATTTGGTCTTGCCTACACTGGCTAGTTAAACCTTGCATGGAGGAATAGTTAGGGGCACTTATCTTGGTTACTTTTACTGACCCTCATGCTAAGGCATCTGTAGATCCTATCAGGTGTATCTAGATGGCAACTCATACAAGAAGACCACAAATCTCCCCATTATTGGCCAAGCACTCCCATACCTCCTTGATTTTGAACACATCATTCGAAAGCGGAGGAATCCGTAAGGCCAGCTAGAACTGGGAACATGAACTTGAGCTGGAGGAGTCAAGCAAGGTGGAGAAAAAACCTTGGCAGGGAGTAATTCCTGGGAACCAAGGAGGCACCAAACATGGAGGAAGGTGTAACTCAAGTCATAGCCTCAGTGGTGGGAATCTGAAGTTCACAGAGTGGTGAGTAGCTGTTGGGTGTGTAACAGATGAGGGTGGGAGATGAAGTGGGTAACTTCTTGAATTCCAGCCCCATGAGTCTAAACTCCACGCTCCACGTACGGCCAAGAAAACTGCTCTGTATGCCTCCAGGGCTGCCATTCAGAGACCTCAATGGAAATGGGTTGTTCTGGAGTTGTGGAGTCCACAGTCTGCATGTTGGCATAAGGTAGCATTCTCTACAATTTGTCCTGGAAGTTGGTCACAAATTTTTGAGCCTAGCTATGGCTTGCTGTAAGAGCTGCTTCAGAAAGATGAAGGTCATCACATTTGGTAGATGTTAGCTTTGAAGTGATACAGTCGTCTTAGGAATTCTTTTCAAAAACCATTTATCTGATCAATAAACACAGCCCTTAGCTTAGGACTTCACACTTAGCAGGTACTTACCACTACATGCTTGCTGAATGAATGGACTAATGAGCACTGATGTAAAGGAGTGAGCATTTAAATTCATTGCAAAATGGAGAATGTTCTGGAAAGCATGCACAGCAGGCTAGTAAACTAAGGCGACTGGATTTGATCCAGTCTCGATGAAAGTGGATGGGTTAAAATGTGCCTCCCTTCTCTAATTGCCACATATTTTATTATAGCTGCATATTATATGTAGCCATTCCTACCACTGTACATTTAACCACTCCCACACATCTTACTGATACTCTAAGCGTTTTATCTATTTTATCAGTTATTACTATTTTTTAAAGATTTTATTTAATAATTGAGAGAGAGGGAGCGTACCAGAGGGAGCATGAGTAGCGGGGAGGGACAGAGGGAGAGGGAGAAGCCCACTCCCCCCTGCGCAGGGAACCCGATCTGGGGCTCGATCCCAGGACTCTGAGATCACAAATTGAGCCGAAGGCAGATGCTTAACCGACTGAGCCACCCAGGCATCCCTATCTATTATTACTATTATTAATCATTGCATGTTGGATTGCTCTGTATATGTATATTCCAATCATAATAATAGTGGGAATAGTAATAGTAATAATAACTATTTCTACTACATGCAAGACATTGTGCTCATTGCTTTATACACATCTTCCATAATTTTCATGTGTTAGGTAAAATTCAGATAATTTCACCTTAAAATTAAGATATTCTAAATTCATCCAAGGTTGTATGGCTAAATAGTGAATGAATGAGAAGTCCCACCCAGATCTTCCTACTACTTGCTTTTTTTCAATCTGAGCACGATTACTGTTAATAAACATAAAAATATTGAAGGCACTTGGTATAATTATCTAATATATCCTGCCCTGCAGTAGCTTCCAAAGGACATGAATCTGGCCTTTGAGAATGAGGAGGAGTTAGCCACTGCATACTTTACATCAGAAGTAATAAATGAACCATCAGTCATATAAGCATCAGTTCCACACCACTATCAGTTTATAATTTTCTTGATCTCTCTGGCTACAGGGCTCTCTCTTTCCTGGGAGGCTTGCTGGAATGTTCCTCTAGCGAGGATTTTTCTAAAACCCCAATAGGTCCCCGCCACTTCCCAGTTTAACTCCAGACTTGACACTGTATCTCCTCTACCAAGAAGAGCATGGTCTCTAGCTGGTCTTCCAATCCCTTCCCATTCTAATTCCAACCCATTTGGGCAGCCGCAGGCCTGGCCACTGCTCCTAAACTGCCAATCCTGGAGCCGTGGCAAGTTAACTAGAAATTTCAGAGGAGCCCACTGCTTTGCTTTTGCACATTTTTCTTCCTGCCTGAAATGTCAACAAGGATCTCTTATTCATGTTATTTTATGGCTCATAGAATTTTTTCAAGGTCCACCAAGACAGGAAATGTATTTTTTTTAAATCATTCTATCTCCAAATCCAGTGTCTGGCACATAGTAGGTTTCAGTAAATATTTGCTCTGGATTAATTCAAGTTAAAAAAAAAAAAATCACATTTTCTGGGAAAAGTCCCTGAAGTCCAGGAACAGTTGCTTCTTCCTGTGTGCGCCCTTGATATTCTAATTGCCACATTGTTATGCAATGAAATGATGTATTTCCATGCCTTTCTCTGGGGCTAGACTCTGAGCTCCTGGGTGGCAGAGACCAAATCTTACTCATACGTGGGTCCTTAACAACCCGCACAGGGCCTGGCTTATAGTAAGCCTGCATAGATTTCCTGGAATTGAAAATGTAATTCTAAAGCAATCACGTGAGCTGAGCAGGGCGGGTGTTATGCTTCTCATTTTACAGTTGAAGAAACAGGGACCCAGGGAGGAAAAAAGTCTTGACTCAATTTTCATTTAAAATTGGAGGCCCAGACGGGGCTGGGACAACGCCTCCCAGCCCCTAGTTATAAAGCACTCTTGGTGGCCACTGAACAGAGGAGGCCAGTGTCTTTCTGATCCATCCGCAGAGGCTACTTCAGGCTGCTCCTGAGAGCAGCACAAACACTTGAGTATCTTCAGGGGACAGAACTGGATTAAAGGACTCTGCTTAGCAGTCATGGTGATAGTCCGGGGGAACCTGTGAATTCCCCTGGGGCCAGGGACCAAGTCCTAGGCAGGTTTGCCAACACTAAGATTGTGAGAGGTGCCAGGACCCATGAGGCCACTTCTTGACCTTCTTTTCAAACTCTGGCCCTGTGGTGGCCTCCTATATAGTCAGTGTCCTCTCTGGCCAATTTCCCAGGAACTTTTTATCACTAGAGTAACTCAGTTGTGCATAATTATAAATAGGTCCCCTTTCTACTCAGAACAGTCCTACTGTGAAAAATAAATTGTATGGCCCCCTTCCCTCCTGCATTAGAAAATATGCATATGTCCATATAGAAGCTCAGAGGGCTCCAAGAGTCTTTTAAATTCACCTTTCCCAGTCCCTTGCTTTTTTTTTTTTTTTAGATGTTCATCCCCCAACCACATTGCTTCTGGTTTCCCAAGATGCACTAGGTTAAGACTTGAGTTACAAACCTCTGAAGGAGTTCAAGCCCTTTGCTGTGTTTCTGCCGGAGCCAGAGGACTGGAGCCTCCCTAGAACGTTGGGAATAATTGGCAGGGAGGGGCGGGCGGTAAAACTGCGCCTGATTCTCAATGTTGAATGCCTTTGCTGTACTTGTGTGTGCTGGGGCCAGGGGTGGCTAACAGAAGAGATCTTGTTCAGCCCCGCACTCCGGTGGGAGCCAAGAGCACTTGGATGCAGGTGTCTGTTTCACTGGGCCACCAAGGCCCTCTGGGCACTGCCCCGAGAGGGGAAGAATTAGTGATTAAATTCGGTCTGAGTCAAAAGGTGTCTTCAAGCTGAAAACACTCAAAGCCCCGGTGGTGGAGAGTGGAGGGGTAGGGAGGTGGTGACACCGGGGTGACACCAACCCAAAGCAAGCAACTGTTTTCTTTTTAAATGGGGACTAGGGTGTTGGGGAAAGATAATGAAACTAATTTTTGAAACTACATGCAGCACCACTGATGTAAGCGATCACCAGCAGGGAACAGCTCCTGGCTCAGAGCTGCAACCGAAGCGCGGTGGCCTGATGCTCTCAGGATGCCTGGCTTTCCGGGGAAAAGCGCCAGCAAGAGCAACTAGGTACGCAGAAGTACACTGAGCATCGCCTGCGGCGGCCCCGCGACCCTCCCCCTCCGTTGCGGGGTCGCTTTCTCCCAGCCCGGGGCCGCGGAAGGATATGGCACTGTTGCCGAGCCGGGGAGCCGTGAGGCCGGCGCCCGCGTCGGGGCCGAGAGCTGCAATGGTAGTGGCAGCGGCCGGCGGGCGCGGGGAGCCGCCCGAGGACTGGCAGCGGCGGGGCTGATTGATGGGCGCCCGGCTCAATGAGGGGGGCCCGGGCGGGGGTAGGGCGGGGCCGGCCCTGTGCTGAGCCAGTCGCGGGTGCCGCGGAGGGGGGGGAGGGGGCGGAGGCTCCGTGGAAATGTGTCGGTGACATTGAATGGGGAGACGGAGCGCGAGCGAGGCGCGCGCGCGCACACACGCGCACACAGGGCCCCGCTCGCTCCGAGATCCCCGGCCACGTAAGTAACTATTAATACCGCCTCGCCGGGAGTTGCGGGCGTGCTGAGCTCGGGGATTGGCCTCGGGCACCATCGGCCATCCCCTTCAATTTTAAATACACATTCTTACCTCTGCGGAAGAAAGAAAAATAAATAAATAAAAGACGAAGAAGAAAAGGCATCAATTTTCTCCAAAACAAACCCCAGCGGGCAATTTGGGTTTAGGGTCGGGGGAGACGGAGTGGTTGTAAATTATTCCAAGGCAAGATCCAGTTATCCAGCGGGAAAGGAACGCCGCAGGTTGGCTGGGGGCGCATTCCCTTCCAGCGCCCGGAGGATCCCCCCCTCCTCCCGCCCGGAAGCTCGTGCCGGGGGAATCGGAGACCATTGATCTACCCTCGTCCGTACCCGCACTTCTCGCTTTATTCGGAGGACGATCTGGAGCACGAGCGAGCTGCGACAGCATGAGCCTGTGCTGACCTCCGCCCGGCGGATCAACCCGGGCTTTGTCGCGGTACCTGCGCCCAGCCGGCGCCGCAACTCTGTGCCCGGCTTTTGCAGTCTTTTGTTGGCAGCGGTGACCGCTCTAAGTTAAATGCTCCCTTGCTATTCTTTTTCTTCTTCTTTTTTTTTTTGTCTGTTTGTTTAAATTTTGGAGAGCTCTTGCGATCTTGGAAAAGCCTCAGACGCCATCTACAGTTAAAACGTAGGTAACTACCCTCGCCGGCGCCCCCCCTTCCACGCCCCCCACCCTTTCCACCAAAAAAAGGGGTGCAGCGCGGATTCTGTCTGCCGTGCGGCGCGAGCCGGTAGACCCGTGCTTATTTCCTTTTTCTTTTTGTTTGGTTTCTAACGCGTTGAGACCAAGCTGCTGCCGTGCGCTCCTCGAAGATTGCACAAACTACAGCAGGGCTCCTCCGCCCCGTCTGCGATTCGGAAGGCTGCGTGGGGATCGCTTCGGGAGACCTGGCGCTGCAGCTCCCCACCTTAGCAGTCCGGTTACTCGTCTAGATCCACGTTGGAAAGAGAAAGAGAGAGAGAAACTAAAAGTGCGGAGATTCTGCAAATCGCTGGCTGCTTTGGGGTAACAAAAGGACCCGAGTTACTGCCGACTGAGCACCCCCGGGAGCCGGGCTCGGAGCAGACGAGGTGCCCGGCGGCGCCCATTTGGGGGCTTCTAACTCTTTCTCCGCGTAGCCCCCTTCCCGTCCCCTCCCCTCTCGTTCCCTTTTAAAATCCGTGGCACGGAGGCGCCTGCAGCCGCACTCGCCAGCGACTCATCTCTCCAGCGGGTTTTTTGTTTGCCGAGTGCGATCCCCACACTCATGAACATACACAGGTCTACCCCCATCACAATAGCAAGATATGGGAGATCGCGGAACAAAACCCAGGATTTCGAAGAGTTGTCGTCTATAAGGTCCGCCGAACCCAGCCAGAGTTTCAGCCCGAACCTCGGCTCCCCGAGCCCGCCCGAGACTCCGAACTTGTCGCATTGCGTTTCTTGCATCGGGAAATACTTATTGTTGGAACCTCTGGAGGGAGACCACGTTTTTCGTGCCGTGCATCTGCACAGTGGGGAGGAGCTGGTGTGCAAGGTAAAGAGCTCGGGGTTTGTTTTTGCTTTTTGTCTTTTAAAAAGATTCCCCGGCCGTTTGGAGGGGGCGGGAGGTCGCCAAGCTGCGGAGCCTGGAGGAGGGAGACTCGCGGGATAATTATCCGTGGCCTCGTTAAATGGGTTTATTTATTTGTTCACGTTCGACTAGTTGCGAAGTTTTTAGAGCGTTGCAGACAATGGGGCGGGCTGCGGCGGGGGCGTTTTGGGGAGAGCCCGGGGTTGGGAAGGGCGGCGGGACTGCGCGGGGGCCACGAACACGCGTGCTCCCAAAGGCTCGTGGAGCGCCTCAGCTCTAGGCCGGGTCCCGCTGCCCAAGGGGTTTCTCCTTGTGTCTAGCCCCCTCCCCTTCCACCGTGAAGTAGGGAATCCCCCACTAATTTTAAGGCACTGATGACTGGGTTCCTTTTGCAGCCATTGTTCTGAGAAGCGTGCAGGTGTTAAACCTTTGTTTGGAAGGTGCCCTTTAAAAGAGACACACAAAGGTGTCCCCTCTGGCTGAGCCAGGGGCCCAGCGCGGGGAAGGAGTTTACAAAGAGCTCTCTGCTCCTTGCAGCCTTGAAATAAGGTATTGGGGGTGGAAATCAAAGCCACCAGCGCACCTTCGGGTGTAGGAAAGTGAGTCCTTTGGGTCCTCCTCTCTTGTCTCGTTTCTTCTCGTCTCCAGACTTCCGTGCCCGAACACCCCCTCGCGCCCCCCACCCCCAACACACACCTTTGCCAGTATGGTTTACAGGCCGGCGTTTGGAGCCCCAGGGATTCACAGCGCTAATACAGAGAGGGGCACTTCGGTTTCCGTTTTGTCTTTGACCCCCAACTGGTGTGTCTGTGTGTCTTTGTGTGTGTGCACCCCAGACAAGGGGATGAGAACAGTTGCAAAAAAAAAAAAAAAAAAAAAAAAAAGAGGAATAGAGTAGAGCATAGGGGATACCCAGGCAACTGGACATAGATCAAGAATTCATTGTCAATTTTACATTTGGTCACTCTTGGTTTTTCTTGGGGGAGGGGTAAGGGGCTAGTGAAGAGTGAGGACCTCTGCTGTCTTTGAAATGGGCACTCTGTACAGCTGTGCTACAAATAATACATCACACTTTTTACCATTAACCACAGATTGCTTTATTTTGTGGGGGACTGGAGTCTTTCATTGTAAATATGCGTTTTGTGGAGGTCTTCAATCAGTTTTGGAATTGCTCAGTACAGATCTCAGGGGGAAATCAGAGACTCTTCAAATATAGCTCTCTGCTTGTACTGAGCATTTGGTATTTTGCAACTTCTCCCAAGTTATTGAGATCCAGAGCAACTGTGCCCGGTTAACCAAAATTCAGTAGGCTATTCAGAGCTGGATTGAATTCTCAGAAGACCTACAAGGTTGCACAATAGGGGAGTCATCCTTTGAAATGAATGAATTCCACAGAGCTGCCACTCTCCTATGAAATATGCACAATCGCCCAGCAGTGTGTTCACTCCTTTTGCTCAACTTCGGTACAGCATTTTAATATTTTTCAAAGGCTGGAGATGCTTTTAAGTAAAGGGACTCTGCCTTCAAATTCTGCAGGAGCATCTTGCTGTTATTTCTTTGTTTGAAGGCAGAGGTGACTTGCCCCTGCTCTTTCTTTCTCCCTCCATATTCTTCAAGACATATTTCACTTTGGGCTGACCTTACGGTGTCATTCATAGACGTGCTCTTTGGCCTGAAACTGTACTTAATCTGCTGGTTTAGTTATTGCAAAGATTGAATCAGCCCTCACCAATTACTGTGGGGCTGCAAGTGGATTTAAGTGCAGTATCATTGTTCTGCTTGGCAGAGGTCATCCCTTTAAGACACAGCAGCCTGTTTTCCTGCCTTTTTACCAGAGGTGACATGGGTGACTTTTTATGCAAGCATAGCTGTGTATATCCTAGGAAGCTCCAAGTGGTTTTTATAAGGCTGCTTCTTTGAGCTACCCTCAGATACACAGTGTGAACTCAGCTTACTGCAAGGCACTGTGAAATCTACACATTGAATCAAGTTCCTTTTGATGTCTCAGAATATAGAGTTCATGTCTCCTAGCTCTATGTTGACCCAAGGAAAAAGTCTTTGCAAAAACAGATCAAATGTAAAGATGCCATTCCTATAGAGAACTGTCACGAGAGAATGCTACAGGATACCATTTGGGGTCATTTAACCAAAATAATCAAGCCTGTTTATTGTCTCCCTGAGCCCACTGTAAGCTAGGCAAATGAAGGAAGGCAGCTTTAGGGGGGTCTTTACCTTATTATTTTCATGGAAATGCTGGTAGCTACTATGCACATTGACATAATTACTATCTTGGCAAAATGGGCACTTGGTTTTGGGTTTTTTGTTGTTTTTTTTTTTTTTGCAAATGCTACTAATGATGGCCTAATCTTCCTGCCTTATCTCAGCTGTCACATTATATAACTTAGGCTCCAAATTAAACATTTAAAAGAAGGTGGCAGCCAGGCTTATGGCTTGATTTTGCGTTTGAAGGTGATGGTTTAAATACCTGTCCAACCCCCTTAAATGCCTCTGATAGCTGCTACTAAAAGTTTGGTACCTACCCATTTGGGAGAAGAGAAGTATTTGCTTTATTTTTCATACTCTGTCCACCATCTTGGAATTTGATCTCCTACAGAGGGTATTGGCTATTTCTTGAAGCTGCCATGAATATGTTGTTTTTTTGTTTTTGTTTTTGTTTTTTTAAATTTCTGTGTCCGTTCAGTTTTTCATCAGTGGGACGGGGTAACTGACTGAAGGTGCTGAGCAAAAATCACCTTTTAGTTTTTTAAAAATGCAACTTGAAGGAGGAGGTATATGATAAACCATCGTAACTCCACAAGCACTGGAGAGACGGAGCCTGCAGCCTCCAGCTTCAGAACCCATCCCCCCCCAGCCCCCCCACCCCCGTTATATAACACGGAATGTTTACATTAGCCACTGCAAAACGTTTATTACTCTCTGAAATTTTTGAGGTTTTCCTAGGTTTCTGCTGCCCGCAGCCTGGGTGTTAAAGTTGACTCAGGCATTTCAGATTCCTAATTGAACGGACCTCTGAGGTCACTGCTCGTGGGTCATCATTTGACAGTATCAGGGTGTGATTTGTGGTCTCTGGAGACGTTGAAGTATTCATTCTTAAATTCTAGCAGCTGTACTGCCTTCCTGAGATGCCTCATTATGGTTCATTCACAACGTTACTTTGCTTCCTCGCCCTGGGTTAGCACCAGCCCTCCTGAGGTTCTTACTATCCTTGTTTGACTCACAGATTTCTTTTGGTTTTTGAACCGAAGGGCGACTTAACTTCAGTTGTGGATCTTAAATGGCAGCCTGTGTCCCTGGATGGGTTTCCGAAGGCCTGTGAATCCCCTGAAAATGAATCCAGTATTGTGCGTGCATTGGAGAATGGGCATTGTCAGCTAGAGGGGACAAAGCTTTTATCAGGTTCTCACGTGGGATCCGGACCCAAAAAGGTCAACAGGGTTCTAAATCAACGTCTCCAGGTCAGGAAGAGGAGGGAGGCCCAGTGACCCTGAGTGCTTTATCCATCTTATCCAGATTATTGGTGGCCAAGCCAGGATTAGAGGAGCCTCAGTTGGGTGATTTCTAGGCCACGCTGCAAAATGAGGATCAGGGAGAGGATGTTCTCACTAATGAAAAAGATTTAAGAAGCTAAATGGTGGTGCACGGGGACCATTTAAGGGTTTGTTGCTGGAGCCTTCTTGGCCTGCAGTGCTTTCCAGCAAAGCACCTCACGCCTGCCCCTCACTCATGCAGGCACAGAAGGGAGTCATGTGCCTACATTCCCAGGCAGATAGTAAAACCACATTCCAAACCCAGGGATTTGTATTCCTGATTTAGTGGAGGTCTTGAAATGAATGAAAGCTTTTTTTTTTTTTTTTTTTCTTATGACCTCAAAGATTCTCTGTAGTGTTAATTCCTCTTAGGATGGTTTCAAAAAGGTATTGAGGATGGATTTTCTTTTTAAATAACCCCACGATGAGGTGGCATTTCACAGGCTAATTTTGATTCATAGAAAATCATTGCATAACTGATTCATTGAGCTAGATGGTGTGGAGGGACTTGAGAATTGTATCTGCTTTCTTTCCTATTAAGGACTGTGTGCCCTATTTCTTAGCTCTGCCGCTGGGGCTCGATTTGACTTGTTCTCTGAGCCTCGATATCCACATCTGGAAAATGAAGGTATTGAATTGGAGGACCTTAAGGCGAAGTCTGCATATTTGCTCTGTTAATGGCTAATATGTTGTAGAGTGCCGTATAACACAATTGCATAAAATATATTGTATACAATCGCTGTGGTTGTGTGGTGATGCCCGCTTCTGTTCTGTTTTTTTTTTTTTGGAAGGAAAATAAGGCTTTGTCTGCGTAGCGTGGGGTGGGTCACTTTCAGATTTTGCTTTAGTTCTTTTATAAACAGGTAGTTGGAGTAGAGAGAAAAAGGTAATCCGACTTAACCATTTGTGTACCATGTTACGTCTTGCAAAGCGCTTTTACCTCCATGTTGTCAAATAATCCTCCCAACACTGTGAGTCAAGGGTCCTTTGCCCATTTTACACATCATAAAGATTTGGAAGCTCAGAGAGGTCAAGCAGCTTGTTCAACGTTACACAGCTGGGAGCAGGCAGGGCCAGTGTGGTCTGGGTCCAGGTTCGGTCTGCCTTCTGTCTCCTCAAAAGCCTGTGGTTCCGTGGTTTAAGAGGCACCCCTGATTCTTGGTCTTGTCGTGAATCCTGTCTTAGGTGTTTGATATCAGCTGCTACCAGGAATCCCTGGCCCCGTGCTTTTGCCTGGCTGCGCACAGCAACATCAACCAAATCACCGAAATTATCCTGGGGGAGACCAAAGCCTACGTGTTCTTTGAGCGAAGCTATGGGGACATGCATTCGTTCGTCCGCACCTGCAAGAAGCTGAGGGAGGAGGAGGCGGCCAGACTGTTCTACCAGATCGCCTCGGCTGTGGCCCACTGCCACGACGGGGGGCTGGTGCTGCGGGATCTGAAACTGCGGAAATTCATCTTTAAGGACGAAGAAAGGTGAGTGTCATTCCTGTCCAGAGCCCGTAGCATACTCTGACGGGCTGCTTGGGAGCATTCTTGCTTGAGAGGTTGGAATGGACGGTTGTTTTGTTTTGGGTTTTTTTTTGTTGGTTTGTTTGTTTTTTTTTTTTTTTGCTGCCTGCCATCCAGGCGAGAAGGAAGGGTGAGCAGACAGAAGGAGGTGAATGAATATTGTGATGTTTTAAGTGCCCCGGGAAACTAAGTTGCCACTACTCCAGCAGCGTTAATGAATGCTCGGAGGTCGGGTGCCAGGATTGTCTGTGACCTGGTGATTAGGTGTTTTTTTTGTTTGTTTGTTTTGTGAACTTTGAAGATGGCTGCAAGCCTGTGTGGCATTTTCACTGTGAGTAAGGCATGATTTTGCTTTTGAAATAATCCTACCTTTGGAACACTCAGTGCCTGTCATCACTGATTTCTAATTCATTCATTCATTCCTTCACTCAATAAATGTTTCCTAAGTGTACGTGTATGTATGGCTAAAGTGCATGTGTATTACTCACATTTCTCAGTACTGTGAATATCAGGATGCATTAACTAGTCAACTCACCTACAAAGGAATGTTCCAAGCCCTGAATGCAGACTATATACAGGGTCAGATGGGACCCGGGGGCTGGGATGTCCGCTCTAACTAGGACTTGGAAGTCAAGAAAGTTTTTATGGGAGAGGTGCTTTTGGAGCTCACTTGAAAGATGAGTATGTTACAGACAGTGTGGGAAGGACCGGCGTTGCAGGTAAGGAAGAAGGTGCCAATACATATACACAGCAATGTGAAGGTCTGGGTTATTGTAGGACACAGCTGGGCAGGACACTGGGCATCTGGGTTCCATTCATGGTTCTTCTACTCACTCATGACATTCTGTTGAGCAAACCCACTGGGGCCCGCTTTCTCTTCCAGCTGACTTCTCTTGTAAAACTCTTTCGAGCCACTCTTTTTCTTTTGAAGAATGTGCTTTTTTAGAGGGGTGGAGGCAAGTGATTTATATTCATTGCTGACTATTCCAAAGATTGTTCTAGAGTTTCTACCCACGTGGGTCGTGGATATTATCACGACAGCCTTGGGCATCCTCGACTCCTCCTAGGGAGGTGGTTGGTGAAGTGGAGGTCCGTGGTCACAAAGCTATTAAGGCCCATTTGAGTACAAAGCTGGTGCATGCCATTCATTCATTCACTCAACAAACATATCTGGAGTATTTTTTTTTTTTTTAATCTGGAGTATCTTTTTTGTGTCAGATGAAGAACTGGCTATCAACCCTTTCTACCTACAGGTTACTGTGCCATGTATCCAATGGCCTGTGATACTTTAGGCTATTGCTTAGGGAAGTCTGTTGATGTCCTATAGAAAAGATATATAATAAGATCTAGGGGTGTCTGCTTTGGTTTTTTTTCATTTTATGGTTACAGCTAATTGGGAGGTAAATGTCTGGGAAGCATTTTGGGATTAGCAAAGGTAAAGGGCCTGTGTTTACTTAATGCAAGTGGAATAATTTGATGACAATTTATATATATATATATATTTTTTTTTAAAGATTTTATTTATTTATTTGACAGAGAGAGAGATCGCGAGAGCAGGAGCACAAGCAAGGGGAGTGGGAGAGGGAGAAGCAGGCTTCCCGAGGAGCAGGGAGCCCGATGCGGGGCTCGATCCCAGGACCCTGGGATCATGACCTGAGAGCTGAAGGCAGACGCTTAATGACTGAGCCACCCAGGTGCCCCTGATGACAGTTTATAATGCAGCTGAGCATACAAAGTGCCGAGGGCCACTGGCCACAGAGATTGGTTACTGTTCCATATTTTTTCCCCATAAACAGGTATCTTAGGCATTCGTGGCAGCTAATAGCCTGGTTTTTGATAGTGCATGGTTTTGACCCTTACTAACAAATGGAAGAAGAGGGAGCTATTCTAAGATCTCGAGTGTGGGGTGACACTTACATATTCTCTTCTTCAGCTCAGATGCATCTGCCCTTGGAGCCTGGAGACTCAGGGGTTATTACTCTGGTTTCACCTTTAATATCCTCTGTGACCTCTTAGTTTGGTCCCTTCCTCCTGGCCTCAAGTTTCTTATCCTTTTATTGTCCTGGCTCTGTCTTATTGGTTCTAAGGTCTTTCTGAGTTATAACATCAGGTATGTGCTTCTTTGAATATTCTCATTGGAAGTTAAATATATACCTGACCCCCAGCAGAATACTGACAAAGATACTTTCTTTCCTTCTGCATTCCACTTTTCTTGGAAATGTAAGAACTCTAACTACAAAAATAAGAGGTGATTGTTTGGGACTACTTTAAGGTCTTATTATTAGGTTATTGTTGACCTTACTTAATTCTCTCTGCAAATGGGGGTAGGATGGGTATCATCATATTCATTTCATGGAGGAGGACTCCAAAATCTTGTGTGAGGTCTCAAAGTTATAGATAAGAAAGAGCAGAAGTAAGGACATACTCTCTATTAAATCAGCTCTCAAGAAATTCATTTGCCTGCCACAGGGAGTAAGGGCGATGAATGCCCTCTCTCACGGGGATCCAAGTTTTTAAACGTCCCCTTCAATTGTGTCTCTTTCGAGAGGAATTTCAGGCACCAGTGAGTATACGGGATGGTGCGTCCAGGGATAGCACACACATGGTAAATACATATTTATGAAGTGAGTCATAGTAGGGTGGACATCCTTAGGTCACAGAACATGGGAGCACAAGTGAACTCTAGGGTCTCCAGAGGGCCCATCCTTCAGTTTTCTCCTGTTGCTGCCTGGAATCAGAACCCTAGAGGTGAGGGTGCCAGTCCCAGTGCCCACAGTTAGCTAGAAGCAAATAAGGGGCTGAGTCAGACCTCACATTTGCTGTTGAAGGCCTTTTCCTCCAGGCCTGTCTTGTCCTTTATGGGAAGTTAAGAGTGCCCAGGAGTAGATGGTGGCAAAGCTGAAATCCTTGATGTCCCAGGGCTTAGAGAAGAAATCCCAAGATGTCGGAGGCTTCCAACACATGGACTGTGAGTCTCTGGCACTGAGTTTGGAGCTGTGTTTGACTTTTGCAAAAGAGCATGACCCTTTCTAGAAAGATCTAGATAGAAGTATCCCGTATGAATGTGAAACCATAAAACTTCAGTGGAGTAAGCATGTCAAAGTGAAATCCTTTTTAACTTTAGAGAGCATTTTCCTTCTGAAAAAGGAAGCATCAGTGACAGGGAGGAAGCTGCTCATCATCTGTCCCCGGCATGTCTGATGGCACCTGAGCCCATGCAGCCCTGCCTCCCTGCGGGACCAGCAGGGAGAATGATAGCTCCTCATCTGATGGGCGAGGTGACTGGGTTGCACAGGAGTTAAGCAACCTTGCTTACGGTCATACAGCCTGCATGCCGATGGAGCCGGCCTGGAAATCCTATCATTTCAGTCCAGAGCTCTTTCCCTGCTCCCCGACCACGCTGAAGTCCCGGAGGACTTGGCTGTTCTTAGCATGACAAGTGTCTCTGTCTGGGCAGCTCTGAGAAGGTCACTCTCATTTTCAAGGACATTCCAAATGTTCTCATCAGTAGCTGAGAGGAACTTTTTCCCCAGCCATCTGTCAAGTTTTTGTGAAAGAGGAATAATGCCTTGTAGCCTTCCTCCTTGTTGTTTTGCCTTAGAACGTCTTGATTTCAGAGTAGGAGACTCTGGTTTTGTCACTCAGAGTATTTCTCCCTCCGTGTGTCCCTGCAGCCGTTGAGTTTCGTGGCAGTTTCTCTTTGTTGGTGCACACAGTGGCTTGCGTGAAGGAACCTGCCTGTGTTTTGAGGGGGACAGCAGTCTGGGACCTCACTGGGCTGGCAGCCCCCACCATCCATTCTAATCAGCAAGACCTCGTCAATAGGTATTTCAATAGGACTAGAGTCTGTGTCTCTCCTGACAACACCCAGCGGGTGAGAAGACAATGGGTTGAATTTGAAAGGCTTTTGAAACGTTGAAGGATGGAGTCTGTGTCTGTTTTCTGGCCCTTTATGCATTGGTTTTTTGGAGGAGGGGAAACACAGAAGAGGCTTTTGGAAGTACTACTTTATTAAGCTTCACATCACCAGACCACTCTTTTGTGCATGGTCTTCTCTCTCTCAGGGATGTGCATCTTTATGTCTGATGCTCTTGCAAGGAACTGAAGGTGAAAGCATTACATAGTGAAGTTGGCTGAGCCCCACCAGGTTCAGAATGAGACCAGCCCGTGTGCTGACTCTTTATGCATGGATTTCCGATACTGGACCATCTGTAACTGAATCCTGACCACCCATGAATGTGTTTTTGGGAGAACGATCAGGTCCATCAGTCCAGTTTCCCATGAGCAGCGTGAAGACATGATACACGCATGACACCCCATGTTACGTGAGGGCCTGATGCCAGTGTGCCTTCTGCCTCTGTGTTGAATTAGTAGCACTGCTGATTCCTTTGCTTCCCTTTTATTTTGATCTGGGTTCTAGATTCGGATTCTGTCTCTACCCCTCATTAGCTACCTGGTCTTGGATGAGTCCTTTAATGCCTCTGAGCTGCAGATTCCTCCTGGCAGAAATTAGGACTGCATCCCTGTGGGTGGTTGTGAGAGCCCAGTGAATGATCCAGAGGTGCACAGGGTGGGGCAGGTGCTCACTATAGCCCGCCGGTCCTAAAGTCATTGATAAAGTGGTGCCATTTTCGACCAGCCATTCCCAGGGTGCTGGAGGCTCTTGGAGAATGTGCTCCACCTCTTGGGCAGCCATTTCACGAAGAGTGGAACTCTTGTGATGTGAGGGTTCAGATTTAAGGCACATCTTCCTTTCTTGTTTAACTACAATATTGGATCAGTGCTAGAAGGGTGATTGACAGGGCAAGCACCAGGCTCAGAAAGGCCAGAAGGTCGACCAGATGTACACAGGGGAAGGCGGACACCAGGCGCATGCAGGGAGTGAAGGACCCCGCTTCCCGGGCCTGGACTGGCCCCAGTGTTCTCAGCCTTGCACTGCTGCTTTTCCTCCATCCCTGGGATGT